TGATGTACTGATATGAGGTGTGGCAACTCGGACTGTTACGCGGTTATGCACGGTTCCATGTTGGATGGATGATGTAAGTATGGCAATTAAATGCCAGATCAAGCTGAATTCAAGCTTGGCTGTTAAACTTCCAGAAAATATAGATGAGCAATGGCTACAAGCAATAAACACCAAGAGAATAGCGGTGAAAGACAGTAGCTAGGGCCCAAACTGTTCGATGTATCACAGAAGAGTCGTAGTCAAGCAATTCGAAATGAGGTCATCGTTGTCTTCACCCCTAAAAGTTAATCCGCAGGATGGTTCTGTTTTCCTCACGTCATGGGTGCACTTATCGCGTATTCATAATCCATCAGATGCTCGAACACCGCCACACGTATTGCAACCCAACAGCCTTTGGTTTCCGGTATTACGGTTGTCTCTGATTCGTTGGACGCAGCTTCGCACTGCAATTTTTTTCATACTGCGGTGTTCCTGAGACGTTTGTTGACATCTTGATAGCCCTATACAAAATCATTTCATGCAGTGACGGCTTACAATCACCTACCTCCAGTGAGGTTTGGTGCGGCTGTCAGATTTTGCCATTCCTCTGTCAAATTGTCATCGATAAAGTTCATCAGATAGCTGTTGAAGAGGTGCACGGTGACGTTGTATTTTCGCTGTCAGATGAAAAACTTTCCCCCGAGTATACGAACGGCATCTTTTTACTGTGCAACAAGCTAAAAAATTCGTATTTAGTCGATACCCATAAGTATAGGATGTGCTTCGTACTGCTGAAGTGTAAAATGCTTTGACAACATTTTGTACTTGCACTTTTCCTTGGCGTCGAACAGCTAGTTGTCGAAAATTCTGAGTACCTGAGTAGTTTTGTAAGTGCTGATGAAGTTTCGAAGTGTATACTAAAATTCGGAGCAGCGTGCATCAATCTGTGTCGCCTCTGTCACCATGATGATATAATCCTGGTCTTAAAACGGGTGTCCAACATGTCGGGATGAGCAGCTGTACTGGATGTCTGTGACCTTAAGAGCCGAAAATACCTGACAACTCTGTGTTCGGCTATCACTGTTCCCGTAAGATTGCTAGTACCCGAAGGAGAGGCTGTGAGTAATTGAGCTGAGGCTGCGTGTTTTAATGAGGCTATGCTCCTCACTCAATGAGTTAAATCGTCTTTCAATACCGGTTACGATGGACTGAACATATATTACGAATGTTATTCCAGCTGCTTCTATACTATGCATCGTTTACTAGCCCCACGACTGGTTGCAGGAAGTGAAGGTAGTCGGTGTTTGATGTGGCATCATGAAATGAGGGATAGTTGTATTGGATTAGCGTCTTTACATGCCTTAAAACTTATTGGAAGAGGACCCAAGAGGCTATCTGACTTAGAAACGATAGCAAAAATGATTAGGCCAAAACCAGTGCAATCATATGACAGCCTTTGATATTTTCTATCATTGAAACGCAAAACAGAAATAGTGAGTGCTCTTTAGATTGTCTTCAAGACATTATCTTTAATAACCGAAGCCTATTCCACTTCTTTTCTATAAATATGCTGTCAATGTTTTTGTACTATTTTGTATGGTATAACTGTTGCTCCCCATGTTTTACCAAGACAACTTAAGTAAATGAAACGCACAAGTCGTGGTTTCGTCTACTCGTCATTTTGTGCATAATTGGACCTAGCCGGTGTGAGTGCATGCAATCCCAAAACTTCTAAAATGTCATACGAGTGATACGGCTATTCTGTTTTCCAAAGCAGTGTATCGAAACACGAAACCTTTCAAATTAGTTGTGCACATATCATATTTCAAGCTATATACAAAACAAATGGTAAGTGACTAAAACAAAAATAAATATTTTCCTTATATTATATGATGCATATACTATTATGTCAACCTATCTTGGGTAGACAATAATAATATGTACAACTTCCAATTTGCGTCAGACTTGCAAAGCTATTTCTGTTCGTCCCCTCCTAAATGATTATAAAGTGTACCGGGTGCACTTTTAAAGTAGATTATATGCTGTTCAGTTTGCAAGTATTTGCCTATCTAAGATTCATTGTCCTTACTAAGAGGTAGCACCGATATCTGCACAAGACTGGACTCATCTCACAATAGATGAACAATGGACACAGGTGACGAAAATAGTCACTGGGGCCACCAGTCACAGTGTACCAGAGGTAGCACACAGACAGTCAGTGAGAACCTCATGGCTAAAGCGTGGGATAGAAAGGCTAATTCAGAGCAAGAGGCAGGCTTAGTTCGAGCGGTGTTCACCACGCAGGGAGTCTGACTTTTTGAACTACAAAAGGATTCGCAACCGCTGTAAGATTAGAGTGCGCAGCGACAGACCTACCCATCAAGCAAACCTGGCTGGGGGGGGGTTACAAAGCAATCCCAAAAACCGGTACCGCTCCATGTTGAGAAAGAAGTCGACCAGCAAGGGAGTGAATCTTATCACAGGTCATGATGGGAGTGTACTAAGCAGTCTAGAGATTGCCGAGCTTCTGAGCTCACACTTCCAAGTCCAACTCAGTACTGCCACTAAATCCACACCAACTCGTTACGACACTGACCAGGCCATAAATAACGGATACCTCTGCCACATCTCAATCACAGAGAAAAAAGTGTTGGATCTTAAAAAACTGCGCCGAGGTGCCGGCAGAACCAATCTGCAACCTTTTCAAGCATTTAACAGAGTCGTGCAAACTCCCTAAAGAATCGAAGTGCGCCGTCTTGTCACCCATCTTCAAGGGAGGAGACAGACAAAGCTCTGGCAGCTATAGGCCAATTGCTCTACTCCCTATACTGTCAAAAGTGTTAGAAAGCCTGGTAGCTGACACTATCTGGGAATCCCTCAACAAGGAAAACAATGTCCATACTACTCAGCATGGATTTGGGAGTGGTCGCTCATGTGCCACCAACTTACTAACCGCCTGGGACAAATAGACACAGCTGGTACAATAGAAAACCGGTACACGTTGTTTTTTTCGACTTAGCCAGAGCATTTGACAGTATCCCACCCACAGTCCTACCTCACAAGATCATGTCAACCGGTATAAGTGAACCCCTACTCTCTTGGTTCAAGGAGTACCTAGAAGGGAGGCAGTTCTGCACCAAAGTAAACAGAATAAGGTCAGAGTGGAGACCATCGACGTCAGGAGTATCGCAAGGAGCAATCTTAGGACCACTCCTATTCCTCCTGTTTGTCAATGATCTGCCACACCAGATATCCTTACCCATCCTCCTCTTCGCTGACAAATTTGGAGGGTAGTAAACGAAGAAGCCAACTGCACAGGACTACAAAATGACTTGCAGCAACTCGAACTCTGGTCATCGGAAAATGCTTTGAGCTTTAACCTGGAAAATTGCAAAGTAATGCACATCAGTAAATATGAAGCAAGTACGGTAGACTTCCAGTACACGCTGAGCAACCATGCTATCACTAGATTTGGGGCTCGACTTCGACACCTTGAACACTAGCTCCAACTACAAAGATATGACAACCAGAGCGAACGCCATTCTGCACTTTCTGCGTAGACAGCTTGGCGCCCTCACCCCGAACTCTTCCTCATCGTTTACAAATCCTACGTAGAGTCGAACCTTGAAGTCTTCAATATGGTAGCCCCCCCCCCTAACACTTGAGAATCTAATCTCCTTGAAAAAAAACACAAACTGCAACAAAATCAGTTGTCGAGCTGAGGGGGGAAGGCGTATCTTGAAAGGCTAAAACAACTAAACCTATTCATCTTGGGTTATCGTAGGAAGAGGGGCGAACTTATTATGGCCAACAAGATCATCCGTCCAGCGAACCACACAAACAAATCAACCTTACCTGCAACACAGTGGTCTTCACGAGGGAACCCCATTAGGACAGTATATCAAAGAGCCAATACCATGCTCAGGTCCAATTGTTTCTCCCTGAGAGCGTGCGCCTTATGAAACGCCCCACCGCGGCATATCGTCATAGACCCTTCAATTGACTCATTCAAAAGACGGTTAGACAATTATGTCACCTCCTATGGCCTACCACGGACGTACTCAGGGAGTCACCAACCTCACTAGCCCACCCTCACCTCCCTTCTACCTTCCACTTACTATCTTCTTACCGACAAACTCTTCCCAGAAAATAGACCTATACTATCTACTTTTACCTCTCAGACAACTCCCACGTATTTTTCTCCCTCTATTTCCTTTCCTTTTTCCTCTTTTTTCATTCTCTACCACTAACTTAATATTCTCATTCAGGTACCTACACAGAAAAAAGTCACAACAGTCCCCTAATCTTTCCAGAAACCCGTAGCTCCCCAATCACTCTACACATTGCAACTTACTAACCCACAAAGCATCCATCTCACCGAAGCTAAAAGCAAGAAAGCAGAGGGGATTTCCTCATCCATTGCAGGAGTCAACCGAACAACTCGAACCAAGCCCTAAGAACTAGACGCGAGAGACCAAAAACTATCAGTTTTCTACGCTCGCACTGTCAGTATTGGAAACTGAAAGGAAGTACAGTGGATTTCACTTGGAGCTACAGAACAATGGAACTGCCTCAAAATGGATAAATTTAACTCATTAATATTGTTATTCAATAATATAATCCATCTTACTAATGTTTTTTTAAATCAACAAATCCCAACTTGTTTAGGATATCTATGAATAAATTCGGATGGACTTTAGAGTCTTCTAAAGTTTCGGGAGCATTAAGCAGCACTTGGAAATTTTCGAGGTGACTGAATGTTTTAGGAAAACCGATACATATCTTGAAATTTTCCTACAGTTTCTTTCTTACACTGCGACTGTCTACAGATTGAATGACGATACAGACGTTTATGACGAATAACTGGTTTGCAAGAGTCCATAACAATCAGAAGTGTGGAGAAGCCTCGTCACGGTCCTTTAACAAAAAAATGCTCATAGTGTAAACGAAAATATGCGAAGGTTAGCAGTAGGTACATAGTGTAGTCATTACACATAAAAAAAAGGGGATAGGGAACTTACATACGTTAAGTCGATATTCTTGCAGTCTACATCGCGAACTCCGAGATAAGAATTGTAGCTCACTGCTCCTCCTTTGAAGTCAAGCTAAAAAGAGGTCAAATAACTGAAGGAACTCACTGTTGGTAAGGTTCTATGTAGTAAAATTGTATGAAATAAAGCTACAACACATGTTTATAACGAAAAAAGTACCTGAAACAACATCCGAAACCTCAGATTCTAAAACGGCCTTTAAAAACTATGTGTAAATTCGAAGAATACATACGAGAATGAATGAGTACTCCCTGCAATTCATTTTACCATAAAGTAGCACAACCTGCAAACATGGCGCTTGTAAATCTAACATTAGATGTTCCACTATCCAATGTCTTTTAAAGGAGCTTGTGTAAACCAGTTGATTTCTTCGCGCTCGCTTCTTGGTCTTGCAGAACGGTCCCAGATCTTTGGCTGATTCCGATGCAGCAGATCCAGCCACTTGTCTGCTATAGCTCTGATTTACAGAACAGGAAGTTAAGTGTTGGTTTGTTTGCCTTGGACTGTGGTGCAGTTGGCTTCTTCAGATGTCGAGCTGCCAGACGGTTGTTGGGACTGGTCACTAGAGAGGGTTAGGGACAGTGAAGAGAAAATCTAGAAATTGTTTGTGTGAGTAAAAGGAAAGAGGAAAAGTGAACTAATGGAGTAATCTACTTACACCCAAGTAAGGTGAGTAGGGGTGCAAAGGTATGGAGAACCTAAGTAATTGAGGCTAACTCATGGCAAGTGGAAGGAGCGAAAAAGGTTTAAATGGTTGCAACAGAAAGAAAACTAGTTGGGGCGGCTTGACATCACTTCGTGTTCCAGCTATGCGTGGGTAGACCGTGAGTCTCTGCATGACTGTCTAGCCTCTTCTTGAAGCTTTCAACAGTTGGGGCGGAGACCACCTCTGCTGGTACTGCATTCCTGCACCCACAGACTCGGAGGGAGAAGAACTGTGAACGCACATGCGTTTTTGACCTCTGGTGTGCTATTCTATTGGGGTTTCCTTGAGGATCTGCGTGGTGGCTACTCGGTAGAACTCCTCTGTTTGGGTGACATGGGTTACTCATTATTTTGTAAGTTATTATTAAGTCGCCACATATCCTTCGATAGCTAGGGGAGTATAGACCCAGGTCTTTGAGTCTATCCTCATATGGTGTTCTCTGCATTCCAACAACCCCCTTCGTGGCTCGCCTCTGGACTTTCTCTAGTAGGTTCGTGCCTCTTTTCAGCTGTGTTAGAGCGAAGACGTTATAGACCTCTAAGTGGGGCCGCATGTAAGTCTTGCAGGGCTTCAGAAAGAGTTCTGAGGTGAGAGCACCCAGCTGTCTACGCACAAAGTGTAGCACCCCATATGCTTTTGAGATATCACCTGGGTAATTGGAACTGGTGTTCAGTTTCTCCGTCACAGTTAGACCCAGGTCTTTTTCTGCTGTGGTATGGGATAGACGTGAACCAGAGAGATAGTAGGATATTTTCTGGGGATCAGGAGTGCGGAAAAACATGGACCAGCACTTATCCAGATTGAATGCCAATTAGTTATTATTTCCCCACTCCTCTAGTGTTCTGAGGTCCTTCTGTAGTGCCATAGGTTCCACTTCGCAAGTTATTACCCTCCATAACTTGACGTCATCAGCATATAGGAGAATCAGAGAGCTGATATGTTGCTGTAGGTCATTTGCGAACAGTAGGAACAACAGGGGGTCCAAGATTGCTCCTTGTGAGACACCGGATGAGGATGTTCTCTAAGTTGAGTAGACGCTGTTGACTTTCATGCATATCCCCCTGTTGTCTAAGTGGTTCTGCAGCCACGATAGCACCTGGCTACGAATACCCAACCCAGCTATCTTATGTATTAGGATAGTATGTGAGACGGTGTCAAAGGCTCTGGTGAAGTCCAGGGAGATTGCTTGGATCAAGACCTCGAGATCCCAGCATGCTGTCCGGTGATCATGGGCCGTCAGGAGGTTGGAGGCACAGGACCCACCCTTCCGGAAGCCATGTTGAGCGTCACTGAGTGCCCGCTTCGTGTCCAGACATTCTCTGATACGGTCGTCCATCACACTTCCCATTAATTTTGATATTGCTGATAGAAATGCTATGGGTCTATAACAGTTGGGATTCTGTCTGTCTCCTTTGAAGATGGGAGAAAGGATAGCCCGTTTCCACTCTCTTGGGGGCTTTTGCTCATCCAAGGAGTGTTGGAGGAGGCTGCAGAGTGGGCCACTTAGGGTACTTGCACATTCTTTCAACACAGATGGGTGGATGTCGTCACACCCTGCAGATTTTCCTGCGCTCAGCTTTAAAAGCTTGTTGAGAACAACAGCGTGAGTTATCTGTATTTCATGTAACTCGGTAGCATCAAACGTGGTGCTCAGCATTTCAGCAATCTCCTGTCCAGAGAGGTTTTCTCCTTTCGGACCTTTTATGACATATGCTCTTTAGCCTGTCGATTTTCTTTGTGCCATGAATCGGTAAGGGTTATTATGGTTTACCTCAAGCCTTTCGGCGAGGTCGGACTGGAACAACCTCCTGTCTCCCCGTACCCCTATGTTGCTTTCATTCCTTAGAATCATGTATGCGTAATGGTCGTCCTGTTCTCTAGAGAGTCTCCGTATGTGTCACGCCCTTCTCTTGGCTTTTAGAAGGCGCCTAGTGCCCGTTTCAGCCATGACATTCGCTTTCTGGTTGTTGTTAGCGCCAAAGGGACGTTTTGCGAGACGGCCACCTTAATGATTTCTTTTGTCAGTTCCCAGTGCTGGTTAATCGATGAGGAACACCAATCCACTGGCCACGAAGCTGTTGAAAAGTTCTTGTTCATACCCCCGTAATTTGCCTTGTTGTAACATAGGTAAGGGCGGGGTCCCTCCCATGATAGTTCTTTACTAATTACCAGGTCAAACATTAACATAGCGTGTGTAGCGGCCAGAATCCAATAATCTTGGCCTGAACGCGGGAAATAGCTAGGCGGTGCCAACTGACGTGAATCTGACTAGTTCCTGCGTTCTACTGTATAGCTTCCTAACTTCCGCGAGTGACGCACAGTAAAGGGATCGAAATATCAAAACACGGTTTATAGTAATTCAATAGTAGATTCGTAACAAAATCTGTGGTACTATCAAAGCAACAATAAGTTATGTCAAATTACAAAAATACCTCAACAATGCCGTTGGGTAACCATACAGTTCAAAACGTTCTCGGGTACAAATACGTACTACACGGTAAAAACTGGTTAAAAAATACAACTGTTAAATACCTGTCGGTCAATAGGAATATTCCCGGCAAAAGGGATCAAAACTCTGTCTACAGGAATCAAATCAACAAACAAACGTTCCCAGTAGACAGTCAAAAGACAAACAGTCAAATCACTGCACAACCGTAAGTTGAACCAAAACAAAAATGTCGTGCGCAGTAAAACAACATCACCTTATCAACAGTCCAGCGTCACATAATAGGAAAGTGAAACACTCATAATAAGTCTCAAACATACAAAGGCAAATACCGAGTGTAAAGTCAAATAAGACAGTTAAACAAGCAAATAACATTACACCGGCGAGGGTCAAAGGTACACCATCCATAACGAGGGTAAAAATGTTAAAATAAATGTCAATACGATCAAATAAGGGTGATCGGGAGGGATTTTCAGATCATTTTTCCGTTACAGCGTGATCGCTACTTCCAAGAGGGGTTTGTACCTGAACGTTTTCAACCAGAAGGGGATCACTAGTCAGTAGGTAATCCAGTCCAGATGGTTTTCCATCTGACCCCCAGCGGGCGTCGTCGCTGATTTTTTCCTGCGGTCCAGCCATTTGGATGGCGTTTAGCAGATTACAGCAGAACTTCCAGCTCGGAGTAGTGCCACCTTGCTCTAGGCTGGCGGTTGGAGCGTTGAAGTCGCCAGCTATTAAAATCTGGTCGTACCCCATAGTTGACACTGTGGATATTGCTTGGAGCAGTTTTTGGTTGTGTTCCAAGTTGCTATTAGGGGCCTATAGATTCCTCCAACTAGGAATTTGGTGTGTTTGACCGTGAAGTGGCACCGGATGGAGTCTAGGAGCTCTGTCAGTGCCGGATCAGTGATTTGCTCACTTCTAAACCACTTGTTCATGTATATTGCAACCCCCCCGTCCCTATGTTCTCTGTCTCTCCTGAATAGAATCATATCATCTATGTTAACTTTGTTGTCAGCTATGTCTGGCGACAACCACGTTTCTGTCAGGATCATGATTTTGGGGGCGAGGTAGAGACAGAGGGATCGGAGCTATGAAATTTTACTTCGGAGTCCTCTCACGTTGCTGTAGAGACATTTGGAGGTGTTTCTCCTAGAGTGAGATGTCTCTGAGTTAACTAGTGGCAGGTTAAGTTTTTTCCCTCGTCTGCCGGTGCATTCGGTGTTGAGTGGGGGTTGCTGGTCCAACTCTCAACTTTTCGGTTTAGGGTTACGGTGGCCTGAGCACAGGGCGTAACTGCTGTCTGTTGCTGTCGCAGTGTCCTCGGTCTGCTTTCACAGCAGCGAAAGTTACCGCTTATGGTGCTCTTGACTTTGTACCACGTCTCCAGCACTCTGGTGAGTACTTCTGGGGGTTCGAAGTTGACAGCCATTAGTCTAGGTGATGTCATGGTTGTCAGATGCAGGGGGTGTAGTAGTCCGCTAATTGTCGCAGCTGCAACCCCACTCAGATCCATCCGAGGTGATAACCACCCCCATTGTTTGACGTCATGTGTGTACTCCTCACCTGGGGTACCGGTCACCATTTCAGGTATTCCATGTACGGCCATGATTGTGAGTTTCGGTGGACCAGCTGCCTCTTGAGATGTCTTTCTTGACACCCATGATCGGTCAGGTCTAGTTCTAATGTTGAACGACCTGTTGATGACCAGGGTGTGTGACAGTAAGAGGGACTTTTCGGCCTCTCTAGTTGAGCCTAGAGTCACTCTCATCGGCAGAGGCCTCCCTGCTGGTGAGTGGGTGCCTTTGTATAGTCAACACAGTTTTGCCTCGAGGACGACCAGACCTAGCATGGCACAGAGGGAGTCCCACTGCTGCCTGTCAAACTTGTCCTTGTGTTCTAGAAGGCTATCATCACAGACGGGAACGTTAAACAGAATGACGGAGCTAGATCGGTCAGTGATACCAATATTATTCGATCCTATGTGTGCACTTTCACGGGCGCTTCGAGTTTCTTCTC